AGGAGAGACTACTAGAGTACTGACAATGAAGTTTTGTGCCAAGTCCAACAGATTGCAATATATAGCTTTTAAAATCATATACCATGGTTGTGCACGAAGGAAAGAATTTTCTTTGCTTCCCAAGATAGTGTCTTTCGCTATATTTAGAAAACATTCTTAATATGTTATGTATATTTTCTTTTTAATGTCTCTCTGAAAGAAGCAGAGTACATAATAAAACTGAAATTAAAAATATGAAGCATCTTAAAATGCTATCTGCTACAAACCATCCATCTAAAGTACCGAAACTATAAATGAATGTGCATTGTTTCTAAAAAGAAAGACTGTATACCTGGGGTGGCCAAACTGTTCGTGAGCCACATGTGGCTCTTTTACCATTAAAGTGCTGCTCGCAAGCCCCGTCCGCCCTCAATTCTCCACCTACCAGACTGCGGGGTTTGGGGGTGGGGAGGAAGAGCTCGGGGCCTCTGCCTTGCAGTAGGGTGGTGGGGGTGGAGGCTTCTGTCCAGCGGGGAGGAGGGTTTCAGGGCTTCAGCCCCGCGAGGGCACACCTGCTGCGGCTCGGGACTTCAGCAGGAGTGGGACTGAAACCCCAGGCTCCCAGCAGGCATGCTCTGGCTCTCGAACTTCTGAAGATTGTCGTACGTAGAGGGTCAGTAAGTTTGGCCACACCTACTGTATACTAACTCTTTGTATTAAGTGCAATTAGAGATAATGAATGGTACCAGAATGAGCCTGGAAAGTGAACACCTATCTATAGATGAAGAAAAAGCAATGACAGGGAAATTATCTCTACGCTGCCTCTTGAACCACTGTTTATTAATCCTAGCCTGAAGGGTCACCCAGACAGCCAAATAAAGCAAACATTTTTCAGGTACATTGTATATGGAGAATCCATATAAGTAAGCATTGGACAAAACCAATCACTTATTTTTTGTTCATTTTTCATTATCTAAGAAACATGCAATTAACTTTAACTGGCATTCTAGTTTGCGTATATATGGCAATTAAACTTCTTAACGCCCCCCACCACCATTTTCCCATTTAGTGTTTATTGTGTATTTTATTTCAACAACAACAACAAAATGTTAAAGTATATTAAATACAAAATATTTTTATCTAAAGACATCATAAGGATTAAATAAGGATTAAATACATATAAATTCATAACACCAGGGGAAGGGGATTAAATGCACATAATCTATTTACAACAAATCTAACTTTTGTGGCTCTTGCATTCCATCCTGTTTTGCATTAAATGAACTCTATGGCTTGTTATATATTAATGATATTCCAGTGATTAATAAAAACCCAGAAAACTTGAGAATTTGAATTTAACATATATGAAAAATTTTAAAAAGATACAAGCCTCAATAAATCTTTGTTAACACCCATAGGAAAATGACCACAGGGGGGAGTCCACATCATTCAATCAATAAAATAGAAAGAATTACATGGAGGAAAAACAAACATAAAAGTAGAAAAGGTTCCAAGAAAGTGCGTGTTCCCTAATACATAGCAAGATTTAGTTGGGTGTAGGTGGTGAAATCACACTGTTTACCATGCATTTTTCTTCTTTAACAAAAGACGCGGATATTCCTACATTTAAACAGGTATTGTATTTCTCCAAAAATGCAGTCAGTATATTTTCCTTTTATACATATTACAGTGATAGGGTAGCTCTCTACAGAAAGGATAATATTCCAATACTTTGTACTGTCAGGGTAATAGCCCAAGATTTCCTGTGGGGTTCTGTCCTCTACACTGTAGATAATAGGAGTGTTTTTTTTCTGAACTGGCTTCAAATTACTACCATGATTTTCAATTAGTTATTTTCCATACAAAAATCAGAGTTTTTCCCATTTAGACTTTCTTGTGAACATTACATCATTATATAGATGAGAAAAAAAGTTGTTCACACAAATGGGTTGTCTGTATTACGGACAATACATCACTCATGCTCCACTCAGAATTTTGAATATGGCAAGTGAAGCACAAATACACAATTCAACAAAAATTTCATCTCTTCCTTATATGAAAGGAATGTAAAAACAAGCTACATTACCTCACTACATATAATAGTATGTCAGCTCTTCTGTTTTAAACTATTTTTTCAAGAGGTTTTAAATTTGCCTGGAAGAAAGCTAACTTCAAGGCAGTTATCCTACAAATGTTCTATATATTAATTTGAGGAGAATCAGAGGCAAGCTAGATCTTTTTACAATAACGAACAAGCTTCATAACCTCTTAAAAAGTCAGATCTGATAATCTGCTGCTACTCTAGCATTTTCTCTCTTTTTGGCCAAGAGTATGAACTATGATCAGTTTTTAACTGGGCAAATCAGAACCCACAGGCCTGCAGATAATGTGTCTCCCAAGACTGCTATCAGAGTATAAATACAAAATGAATGTAAAATTAAGCATAAAGAGAGGAAAATAAGTATGGTACACTGAACAAACAGAAATTAATCTTGCACAAATTATTTGTCAGTCCAGCAGGGTAGCAAATAATATGATTAGTAGGAGTTTTTTTTAAAACCTGTTATAGGTGAAGCCCAAATTACGGCTAGATTAAAAACAAAAATATTTACCTTAAATTAAGAAAGGTTTATTTTTCCCTTTCAGTCCTAAAAAGAGAAGTTCTTTTATAACAAGGACACCTCAAGACCAATATTAAACTTAGTTTCCATCCATATGCTGATATACATAAAAAAGAAAATATTCAGATTCAAATAAGGTAAGTGTGGCCAATGAAAATAAAGAATATGAAAGACTAAGCTGCTTGAGAGTCAGACATTTTTATATAGAGGTACAAAAATAGAAACAGTTTTCAGATCTGACCAGAATTTATTAGGAAACAAAGCATTAAGACTACTCTAATCAGAAAGAGTGAATAGCTATACAACAGTTCCTTAAATTAAGATTTTTGTGTACTTTAGAGGATTAGTCTAAGAAAGTATGTAAACAGAGCAGGGAAGTTATTTGCGCTTGCGCATAACTGTAGGAAAAAAGCATTTCCTATATACTTGTATATCTTGAAATAGGGCAACTATTTCTTTCAAAAATATAGATTTATATTGTTGAACTGTTTTAACACTTCTATATTTTAGCATGGAAGAGGCTAGCCACATTTACATTAAGTTATATTCACATTTACTGCCGCTTCTGCAGAGTGTTGGTAGAAATCATCACATATATTGCTTTTCACTGATTTATTCACTCCACAAACATAGTAAAATTTCATTTAAAACAAAATATCCATTTGTAAAAATATTTTAACAACAACAGCTGTGATTGAATATGCATTCAATTAACTGATCCAAAACAGGGAGCTGAATGATATAAAGGAACTTGCTTACATGCAGTGTCCCAAAATGTCTCTCTCTTTTACTAGTATGTTACAAGGAACAACTCTTTTAAACTTAGCGTATGATTTTACTTTTTAATACAGTTTTTTCAGTAATGCTATTTGAAAATAAGTGCAATAAAAAAAAAAGAGTAAAAATTTTGTTTTGGTCATAAGTCAGTAAGAAATAAGCTGCCAGGGGGAAAAAAAGCAGCTAATCAGACTACTTATAAAAGTAGTTAATATATGCATCTTTATGTAATAGATAAATGTAAAAGTTAACGATTTCCTCTAGGCTGAAAGTCATTTCAGATTAAAGTAATCTTTTAGTGAAGCAGGTACAACCTTGGGCCCAATCCTATCCATACTTGCGTGATATAATTAGCTTTACTCATGCAACTAAGGGTTTTCAGGATTAGGCCCTATATTAAGAGGGGTTTTTTTCTTTTTAAGATGTGGCAGTAATTTCTGACTTTGTGTTTGTTTGGAGCTAAATGAATAATTACCATAAAATATAATCAATCTTTTGGCAGAATAAAAACATTAAGGGAAATTGTTTTTTTTAAATATTCCCAAACAGGATAACAATTATACATAATCTACTGTCATGCCCTTTGTTGAAATGTCGCAGGCACCTTGTCAGAGACATCCACAACATTGGGGGGGGAGCGGTGTCCAGGATCTGATGTGTAAGACTTCATACATAGTTGAAGTAATAAAATGTGCTTTATTAGTTAAAAATCACAGTACCGACTGTGAAATACTCTACTGCAGGGAGTGAATGGTAAGTTACAAACCCATCCAAATGGGGATGACCAGGGTCAGCCATGCACCCAGCACAACGTGCCTTTCTGCACATACACATGCCACAAGTCCTAAGCAGCACAGCTAAGCACTGCACTGCTAAGAAACTGCTCCATCTTTGCACTGTGACCAATAAGACATTTAAAAAGCTGCATCTGTCATTTAACAATTATTTTAGCTGGTGGGGGCTTTGTAGCCATCCCTAGGGAACTGCCACCTTAAATGCCGCCTCGTCTAGATCAGGTAACCCAGCCACACTAAAACCTAAAGTCATTTCTTCTTCCTTCCTTCCTCCCCTCCCCCAAGCCCTCATTCTGCCTTTTAATCACCATCCTTATACAACTGGGTCATCGGTGCCTGTTCACAACAGGACTCCTAACATAGCTAACTACAGACTTCCCTGCGGGGGGGGCGGTTCTGAAAAGGGACCTCCTGGATCCCCAGAAGTCACGCGCACACCCAGCACTGCTGCCAGGGGTCCCAACCCAAAGCCGCCGACAGAGAAGAAAAGCCCCCCGCGAAAGGGCACCAGGCACTGCAGCGAACAGGCCCCGGGTGCCCCCTGCCTCTGGGGCTGCGTCCCTGGGCAAAACCCAAACAGCGCCCCAGACAAACAAGGCAAACCCGTAGCTGCCGAGGCCCACGAGGAGCGAAGCGCAGAGCCCCGGAGCTGTGGGGAGGCTGCAGACACCCACCCGGCGCCGGGGAAGCGGGGAGCCGCTACAGAGCGGACGCTCGGGCTAGAGGGAGAGGAGGCTGGGGGCGCAGAGCGCGGCCAGGGGCCGGTTTGGGTGAGCCGCTGACGGCCCCGCAATGACCAGTAGCAAAGCCGGCCCAGCTCGTCTCTTACATTTTCTGCACGGGTTTCCGCCGCTTGCGACTGGCGTAGGTGATATTGGGGTTCATCCTGCTGCTGCCGCCGCGGCTCCCCGGCGACCCCGCTCGGCGCCGCAGCCCGAAGCTGCCCGGCCCTGCCCGTCTGCAGCGCGCCGAGCGCTGCTCCCCCAGCCGAGGGAGGGCGGGGAGCCCAGGTGATCAGCGCCGGCGTCACCCACCAACCCCGCTGCGCCCCCGAAGATAGGGGCGGGGCGGGGCGGCCGAGGCTTTCCAGCTCCCGCAGCCCGGCTCCCGGCAGCGGCGGCTTCTCCTGCCCGGGAAGGTGGGGGCCGGGCCAGCGCACCCCGAGGCTGCTGCCGCTGCGGGCGGGTGCGAAGATCCCTCTGTCCCTGTGCGGCCGCCGCGGGCCGGGCAAACGTCTGTCACCGTCTACCGCTGCCACCGCGGTCTCGGAGCCAGCCTCCCCCTGCTCTCCCCGCCCCGCGGAGGAGGCTCCGACGGCTGCCTACGTGAGGGGGCGGCGTGCGCCGCCATGTTGGGTAGGTCACGCCCGGCGAGAGGCCCCAGGACGCAGCCTGCAATGGCCAGCCGGCAGCCCAGGTACCCAGCAGGAGCCCGGCCCGCCGAGACGGGGGAGGTGATAGACGCCCAACAAAATAGCTACCGCCGTCAATGACAGCCACAAGGAAACACCCTGCCTGTGTGTGTGTGTAAGGGGAGAGCTGTGCACCCCCATCGCCTCCCCTCATCCCCGCCTACATTAACTCAAGGGCCGCCCACAGCTGGGGCAGCAGGTGTGAGCCACCGCAGGGAGGAAGGAGCAGTGTGCTGGTGGAGCCTGAGCCTAGGCCTGCACTGGGGGGGGGGGACCCATGCGCCTCCGACCCGTGATTGCACCTATGAAATTCTGAAAGATAAGAGTCCAGACTGTGCTTAAGGGGGGGAAGCCATTATCAGCCTACATTTTAAAGGGGCGGGGGAAATTACAAGCAACATGGGCTGCTAAAGTGCTGCTAAGTCCAGCTGTTCAGGCAGAATCATCATGCATTTTGCCTAGGGCTGTCAAACAATTAAAAAGTAATTAAAAAATCATGATTATTTGCCATTTCAATCACACTGTTAATAATGGAATAACATTTCTTTACATATTTTGGATTTTTGTACATTTTTAAATATATTGATTTCAATTGCAACACGGAATACAAAGTGTGCTACAGTGCTCACTTTATATTATTTTTTTATTACAAGTATTTGCCCTTTACAAAGATAAACAAAATAAATAGTCGTTTTTAATTCACCTCAGACAAGTACTGTAGTGCAATCTCTTTATCCTGAAAATAATTCTACATTTGTAAGTTGCACTATTATTTTTACATAACTGCACTCAAAAATAAAACAATGTAAAACTTTAGAGCCAAAAGGCCACTCAGTCCTTCTTCTTCAGCCAATCACTAAGACAAATATGTTTGGTTACATTTATGGGAGATAATGCTTCCCGCTTCTTATTTACAATGTCATCTGAAAATGAGAACAGGCATTCCCATAGCACTTTTGTAGCCAGCATGGAAGGTATTTACATGCCAAACATGCTAAACATTCGTATGCCCTTTCATGCTTCAACCACCATTCCAGAGGACATGCTTCCATGCTGATGACAGGTTCTGTTCGATACTGTGCCAAAGCAATGCAGACTGATGCACATTCATTTTCATCATCCGAATTAGATGCCACCAACAGAGGCTTGTTTTCCTTTTTTTGGTGGTTCAAGTTCTGTAGTTTCTGCATCAGAGTGTTGCTCTTTTAGGACTTCTGACAGCATGTTCCACACCTCGTCCCTCTCAGATTTTGGAAGGCACTTCAGATTCTTAAACCTTGGGTTGAGTGCTGTATCTGTCTTTAGAAATCTCACATTCACCTTCTTTGCATTTTGTCAAATATGCATGGGGAGGAGGTGACCAGCCCTCTGTGGAGAAAGAAGTGGTTCGGGACTATTTAGAAAACCTGGATGAGCACAAATCCATGGGGCCGGATGCGCTGCATCCGAGGGTGCTAAAGGAATTGGCGGATGTGATTGCAGAGCCATTGGCCATTATCTTTGAAAACTCATGGCGATCAGAGGAGGTCCCGGATGACTGGAAAAAGGCTAATGTAGTGCCCATCTTTAAAAAAGAGAAGAAGGAGGATCTGGGGAACTACAGGCAAGTCAGCCTCACCTCAGTCCCTGGAAAAATCATGGAGCAGGTCCTCAAGGAATCAATTCTGAAGCACTTAGAGGAGAGGAAAGTGATCAGGAACAGTCAGCATGGATTCACCAAGAGCAAGTCATGCCTGACTAACCTAATTGCCTTCTATGATGAGATAACTGGCTCTGTGGATGAGGGGAAAGCGGTGGACGTGTTATTCCTTGACTTTAGCAAAGCTCTTGATACGGTCTCCCACAGTATTCTTGCCGCCAAGTTAAAGAAGTATGGGCTGGATGAATGGACTATAAGGTGGATGGAAAGATGGCTAGATTGTCGGGCTCAACTGGTAGTGATCAATGGCTCCATCTCTAGTTGGCAGCTGGTATCAAGCGGAGTGCCCCAAGGGTCGGTCCTGGGGCCGGTTTTGTTCAGTATCTTCATTAATGATTTGGAGGATAGCATGGACTGCACCCTCAGCAAGTTTGCAGATGACACTAAACTGGGAGGAGTGGTAGATACGCTGGAGGGTAGGGATAGGATACAGAGGGACCTAGACAAATTAGAGGATTGGGCCAAAAGAAATCTGATGAGGTTCAACAAGGACAAGTGCAGAGTCCTGCACTTAGGATGGAAGAATCCCATGCACTACTACAGGCTGGGGACCGACTGGCTAAGCGGCAGTTTTGCAGAAAAGGACCTGGGGATTACAGTGGACGAGAAGCTGGATATGAGTCGACAGTGTGCCCTTGTTGCCAAGAAGGCTAACGGCATATTGGGCTGCATTAGTAGGAGCTTTGCCAGCAGATCGAGGACCGTGATCATTCCCCTCTATTAGACATCGATGAGGCCTCATCTGGAGTACTGCGTCCAGTTTTGGGCCCTACACTACAAGAAGGATGTGGAAAAAATGGAAAGAGTCCAGCGGAAGGCAACAAAAATGATTAGGGGGCTGGAGCACATGACTTATGAGGAGAGGCTGAGGGAACGGGGATTGTTTAGATGAGAAGAATGAGGGGGGATTTGATAGCTGCTTTCAAACTATCTGAAAGGGGGGTTCCAAAGCAGATGGATCTAAACTGTTCTCAGTGGTACCAGATGACAGAACAAAGATTAATGGTCTCAAGTTACAGTGGGGGAGGTTTAGGTTGGATATTAGGAAAAAATAAATTCACTAGGAAGGTGGTGAAGCACTGGAATGGGTTACCTAGGGAGGTGGTGGAATCTCCTTCCTTAGAGGTTTTTAAGGTCAGGCTTGACAAAGCCTTAGCTGGGATGATTTAGTTGGGGATTGGTCCTGCTTTGAGCAGGGGGTTGGACTAGATGACCTCCTGAGGTCCCTTCCAACCCTGAGATTCTATGATTCTATGGTTCTAAATTGAACAACTATGCTGAGTTGTCATCTGAGACTGACATAGTACAAAATATATGGCAGAATGTGGGTAAAACCACAAAGCCAGAGATATACAATTCTGCCCCAAGCAGTTCAGTCACAAATTTAATTATCACATTTTTTTTTAACAAGTGTCATCACCATGGAAGCATGTCCTCTGGAATGGTGGCTGATGCATGAAGAGATATACAAATGTTTAGCATATCTGGCATGTAAATACCTTGCAACGCTGGCTACAAAAGTGCCACGCAAATGCCTGTTCTCACTTTCAGGTGACATTGTAAATAAGAAGTGGGCAGCATTATCTCCCGTAAATTTGAACAAACTTCTTTATCTTAGCTATTGGCTGAACAAGAAGTAGGATTGAGTGGACTTGTAAGCTGTAAAGTTTTACATTGTTTTCTTTTTGATCGTAGTTATGTAACAAAAAATCCACATTTGTAAATTGCACTTTCATAATAAAGAGATTGCATTATAGTACTTGTATGACGTGAATTGAAAAATACTATTTCTTTTGTTTATCTTTTTACTGTGCAAATATTTGTAATCAATAATAATAATATAAAGTGAGCACTATACACTTTGTATTCTATGTTGTAATTGAAATTAATGTTTGAAAATGTAGAAAAACATCCAAAATATTTATAAATTTCAATTGGTATACTATTATTGTTTAACAGTGTGATTAAAACTGTGATTAATTGCAATAACTTTTTTATCAAGTTAATTTAAGTTAATTGCTTGAATTAACTGCAATTATTTGACAGCCCTAACTTTGATAATTTTTTCTTCCCTCCTCCTCATTTTCATCTTTTCATTTGCTACAGATCAGCAAGGTTCTTCTCCTCCAAGGTAACAACATAGTTTG